CACGCGGGGGGTGGCCGTCAGCTCGGCCACGTGGTCCACCAGCACCTCCTCGGCCACAGCCAGGTGCCCCTCCTCCATCTCCACAAACTCGATATTTCCCTGGTGATGGGGAAACCGGGAAGAGTCAGGCTGCACGGCCCAGGCCGGGGAGGAGCAAGGGATGGCAGGGACTCAGCCCGAGATGAGGGGCCCCCAGCAGCCAGAGGCTCCCTGCCAGCCACACGGTGCTCGGCTTCCTGGTGGGGACGCCCTTGCCTGCTGTGTGGGCTCGTCCACCAGACACGGACCAGGCAGCTTGCGGGCTGCATCCTGGGCACACGGGGCCCATGGCTCGGGGTGTCTCGAGGGAGCCCACAGCCCAAGCAGCTGGGAGGAGGGGCAGCTCCGTGGCTGCACTGTCAGAGGCCAGTCTCCCCCCCGCCCCCCGGGCGGTGCGACGACAGGACAGCAGGTGGAGGTGCCCAGCCCAGGCAGCAGGCTCACCAGGTGCAGGATGGCAGCCAGGATCCGGCGCACAGACCCCATCTCCTCAGCGCTGAAGCCGATCACCTGCATGGCCTCCATCACCGCCCAGTGGTGGCTCCTCTCCTCGCTCTCCGAGGCCTGGGGGAGAGGGGGCTCAGCACCCCAGCGCAGGCTCACCCACTGCATCCTGCCCCCAGGCCCTGCAGGTGCCCCAACGGCCAGCACCCGAGCGCCGGGTGCCCACTCACACTGAGCCCCGCGCCCTGGCGGGTGAAGCTGTACAGGGTGGGGTTTCTCTGCAGGTGCAGGTCCTGCAGCTCTGCGTCCTCACAGCCTCGCAGCACCTGCGGGACACACCCTGGGGTCAGGCCCTGGGACAGCACAGAGGTCCCTTCAGCCCCGGTGACCCCGCCAGCCAGGGGAGCTCGTGGCGGCGTGGACACGGCCCTGGCGCAGGGAGAGCCCCTTCAGGCTCAGACGCACTGTGGACACCTCCCAGGTCCAGGCAGAAGGCACCTCAGGGGCAGAGGCAGGCGTGCTGTGTCCGGGGCAACCCACCCCCCCAGAGAGAGAGAGGGCGAGAGGGGGCGGGAAGGGGCTGCCCTGCCTGCCCACCTGCCTGCCTGGCTCACCTGATAGAAGACGTGGAAGTTCCTCTCACCCACGTGCTGCTTGAGGACCCGAGACTGAGGAGAGAGGGGAAGCTGGGCCCGTGTCTGGGTGGACAGGGACCCCCAGGGGACAGGCCCCAGAGCCCCAAGGCAGTGCAGGGAGCAGCGGGGCTGGCCTGGCCACAGAGGGAGCCCCACCCTGTGCATCTGGGACATCAAAGAAGGTAAGTCCCTGCCCCAGGGCCGTGGGCCTCGAGGGAGGCCTGGGCAACACCTTTTCTTTTCTTTCTTTTTTTTTTAAGGGTAAGTTCGGCTCCTTAATTCTCTCAACGTCTTTTTTTATTTATTTACTAGAGGCCCAGTGCACGAAATTCATACATGGGGGGGCCCCCTCAGCCCAGCCTGAATGCTCTCCAATCCGAGATCCCTTGGGGGATGTTCGACTCCCTCTCACAATCCGGGAGTGCTGGCTCCTAACCGCTCACCTGCCTGCCTGCCTGCCTGCCTGATCGACCCTAACTGCCCCCCCTGCTGGCCTGGTCACTCCTAACTGCCTCCCCCCGACCCCCTGCTGGCCTGGTTGCCCCTTACTGCCCCCCTGCCAGTCTGGTCACACCCAACTGCCCCCCTCTGTCGGCCTGGTCACCCCTAACTGCCCCCCACCATGGCCTGGTTGCCCCCAACTGCCCCCCCTGCTGGGCTGGTCACCCCACGCAGCCTGCTGTTTGGTCGTCCATCTGGTTGTTTTGGTCGTGATGGCCCCTGGCTTTTTATATATTAGGATTTTAAGCCTCACGCAAGGATATTTTTCCATTGATTTTTAGAGAGAGTGGAAGAGGGAGGGAAAGACAGAGAGAAACATCAATTGGTTGCCTCCTACACACGCCCTGACCAGGGCCCAGACCATGGAGGAGCCTGCAACCGAGGTATGTGCCCTCAACCAGAATCGAACCTGGGACCCTTCAGTCCATAGCTGACACTTTATCTACTGAGCCAAAATGGCTAGGGCATAACCCACCTTTTTTCTTTTCTTTTCTTTTTTTTCTTTTCTTTGTTTTTAAACATACAGGCTAATTAATATTTATGTATTTTTGTTAGTCCTCACCTGAGGATACTTTTCCGCTGATTTTTAGAAAGAGTGGAAGGGAAGGGAAGAGACACAGAGAGAGAAACATCGATGTGAGAGAGACACATCCACTCATATTGATTGGCTGCGTCCTGCACATGCCTAGACCAAGCCGGGGGATAGAGCCTGCAACCGAGGTATGTGCCCTTGACTGGAATCGAACCAGGGACCCTTCAGTCCAAGGGCCCATGCTCTACCTACTGAGCCAAACTGGCCAGGGCCAACCCACCTTCTCCAGCAAGTAGCTGTGGATGTGCCCCCCGACGGGGTCTCCCTTGAAGTCGAAGTTGATGTCCATGTACTTGCCGAAGCGGCTGGAGTTGTGGTTGCGGTTGGTGCGGGCGTTCCCGAAGGCCTCCAGCACGCAGGTGGACTTGAGCAGCACGTCCTTGACCCTGAACGGGGTGCAGGGTGGGGCTGCATCGCAGAGACCTCGAGCCGGGGACCCTGTTCATCCTACGGTGTCCCGGGCTGAGACCCGCCCGCGCTTCCCTTGCAGGCTGAGGGCGGCGCTTCCTCCTGAGACTCTGGAGGGCCCCGCCGGCCCCGTGCCAGGCCAGATCACCTCCCGCTGGCCACGGGTGCTCAGCGGCATCTTCCCCACCAGCCCCACGTCACTCCACGTCACAGGAAGAGCAGGTTCCCCCACAGGAAACCGCTCCTGCCAGGCTGGGGAGCAAGCCCTGCTTTCCAGCTCCCAGCCTCACCGGTACCTGGCTGGGCCCCCGGGCAGGCCACCTTCTCCCCCCCGTGGCAGGTGCCCCTGTGCTGGGTCTCACCTCCCCTTGCCCGGGACTCAGGGGTGTCTCCGCTCTCCCGTCCCTGCCCAGCCCGCCTCACCTCTCCACCTCGGCCCTCTGGCTGGGGTTGGTGACGGCCGCGATGTACTGCATGATGTGCTTGCTGGCCTCCGTCTTCCCCGCCCCGCTCTCCCCTGCGGACAGACGGACAGACGGACAGGCAGAATGGGCGCCTGCGGCCTGGCCCCCCTCTCCTCTGGTGTCCTCCCACCACCAAAGCGAAGCTGCGGGCCGGCGGGTACCTGAGATCACGATGCAGGTGTCCCTGGCCCTGCGCTTCATCGCCCGGTAGGCGGCGTTGGCCACGGCGTACAGGTGGGGCGGCCGCTCGTACAGCTCACGGCCCTGGTACCTGGCGATGGCCTCGGGCCCGTAGAGGGGCAGCTCCTGGTAGGGGTTGACGGACACCAGCACCTCGCCGATGTAGGTGTAGATGCGGCCCTTCTGGAACCTGGTGGGGGCAGGGCTGCTCCTCAGCCCTCAGGCGAGGCCCAGCAACCCAGCTCCCGGGCCCTGCCCACCTGGGAGAAGGGAGGGCGGTGGCCCTGTCCCCCGGAGCCCACCCCACTGCTCTCCATGGGCCCTGATGGCACAGGAGGAGTGGCCCCCATTTTAGGAAGGGACTGGACTTGCCCAGAGCCACCCTGGGCCAGCAGGTAGGAAGGAGATGGGCTGAGGCAGAGGGAGGGGCCTCCGCTGTTTCCTGTTGGTCTGGGGCCTGGGCGGGGACCCAGTGGCAGAAAGGAGCCCCGCCCAGCCCCACCCAGATGGCAGGGCCTGGGAGGGGTGCAGGGAGGGAGCCCCCAGCACATCCTGACCTCTCACCCCTGCCCTTGGGGAACCGGCCACCAGCAGGGTGCCTGCTCCCCGGGGTGTGTGGGAGCTGCCTTTCCCCTGCACCCATCGGGGTTCCTCTTCCTCAGCCGCCTCGCCTCTGACTGCGGGGGTTCCCTGGCTGCACCCTCTCCCGGCACCCAGCACCCTCGCGGACGCTTTCTCTTGTGCCCCGAGTGGCTGAGTGGCCGGGCTTAGCATCTGGGTGGGGACGGGGCCGGGGCCGGGGAGGCTGTCCCATGAGCCGGTTCGTGTGAATGAGCTGCCGTCATGCCCGGCTCAGTGCCATCGAAAGAGCTCACTGTCCCCCGACCCCACAACCTGCCAGGGGCCGCCTGCCTTCCGCCCGCCCCGTCACCACCTGATCCCGCTCCTCCCTGCCCTCTGCCCTCCTCCTTTGGAAACTGGGCCCCAGGTCACGCTCCCAGTTGTGCCCTGCAGCACCCCACACTCCCCCCAAGACTCATTCAGCTGCCCACTCCCTCAGAGCACCCAGGGCTCAGCCAGGCCCCACCCGGGGGATGTGGTGCCCACCCATCTGGGAGCTGGTTTGGGTGCTGGGCAGGAAATCATGGCTTGTGTGGGAGGCAGGGGCCTGGGGAGTTGGTGCCAGCACTGGCCAGCCACCTGGCCCTGAGGGGTCAGTCCTGCCGGGCTGCCAGGCCCCCCTGCAGTGACCCAGGCCCAGATGGGGGCCTGGGTGGCTGTGTGTCCCTCACCCCCTTCCACCACCACCCCCCCCCACCCCAGCTCCCGGAGGGACCGGGGAGCAGGGAGCCGCCTGGGCCCACCTGAGCTTCAGGTTCTCCATGAAGTCTTCCATGGTGACCTGGTCCAGAAGCACAAAGTCCGCTTTGCCGCACTCAGAGCCTTCCTCGTCCTCCATCCTGCCGGGAGCACCCAGAGCCCAGGCCCGGTCGCCAACTTCCCGCGCAGGGCGCAGGGCGGAGGGAGCAGGCCCGGCCTCTGCCCACAGTTCTCCCCGCCACCTCCCCGTGTGGTGAAGTAGGAAGTGGGTTCTGGCCCGGGAGGGGCTGCCTCCCTCCCTGAGGGGCTCTGACCCCTGCTTCCTGGGCGGGCCCCTAACGTGCGGGCCGGCTGGCGGGAGGTTCCTCCTGGCCCCGGAGGAAGCCCACCCCATCTCCACCCGCCCTCACCCAGCAGCCCCTCACCCAACAGGGGCCGCCCAGGTCCCAGTCCCGCCCCAGGGAGTCCCCTGCAGCCCAGAGGGAAGATTCCTGTCACCCCACCCCACGTGGCTGTCAGCTCTGACCTGGCCTGGTGGGTGCAGGGTGGGCACAGGGCCCCGTGGTGACAGTGGGAAACACCGTGCCCTGGCCTTTGGGGCAGGGCCCAGACAGCAACAGTCCTTGGTGTGGGGACGCCAGGGTGTGAAGGACAAGACCCGCTTTGCCTGGGACCTGCCGTAGGGCGAGCGGGGCCGGAATCACCTGCCCATGTGCCAAGTTCCCACCCCCTCAAGTACCTGAAAACAAATACAAATTTAATCAAGTTGAAAAGTGCTTATCCCAGTGCCGGGTAAACCAGGTGAGCTCCCAGCAGCGCCTGTGGCTCCACCCTGGGGCGCCCCGCGGGCTGGTGTTTTTGAAGGCCTTTCCAACTCGAGGCCGGGAAGAACCTGGGGAGTTCTGGGCGGGCCTGTGGCAGTTTCATTTCCCAAACCCCGGGGTCAGCATCCCGGGTCTGTATTAACACTCAGAAGGGACGACAGGCTGTCCCCATGGAACGTCAGGAACAATGAAACCTCAACTTGGCAACATTTTCAGGTCAGGGACACAGCTTCCAGGCCTCGGCTCTGGACTGAGCCTCACCGAGCCCTCCACCCCGACAGCTTCAGCTTCGGGGAGGGAGCCCCACCCACTCTCATTTCCGAGGGGAGTGACAGAACACCCAAGGCCTTCCCTTCCTGGGCCCGGCCTGACCTGTGGGCCGGCGGGTTCGCCTCAGGCTTGTCCTGGGCAGACAGGTGGTGCCTGACCCTCAGCTTCCCTGCAGGGCCTGGCAGCTGGGGCAGGGCAGGTAGAACCAGCAGGAGTGGGGGCAGCAGGGCTCCTCTCCTGTCTCCTCTGGACCACTTTCTTTTTTTAAAAAACATATTTTTATTGATTTCAGAGAGGAAGGGAGAAAGAAACATCAATGATGAGAATCACTGATCGGCTGCCTTCTGCACGCCACCCACTGGGGATCGAGCCCACAACCTGGGCACGTGCCCCTGACCGGAATCGAACCCGGGACCCTTCAGTCTGCAGGCCGACACTATCCACTGAGCCAAGCCAGTCAGGGTTAATAATTCTTTATTGTTTAAAACACTACCTACGTCCCCCTTTCCCCCTCATTAGCCTCCCACCCGACCCCCACTACCCTACTGTCTGCGTCCCTGGGTTATGCATATCTGCATGCACTTCGCCACCCTATTGTCTGTTTCCAAAGGTTATGCATATATGCATACAAATTCTTTGGTTGATCACCTCCCTCCCCCGCCTTCCCTCCGAGATTCCGCACTGTTCCACACTCCTGTCCTCTGGACCACTTCCAAGATGCTTTCCCCTGGAGGTGCCAAGCTGGCAGCACAGCCTGGCCCTTTGCACCTGCAGGCCTGGCTCCAGCTGGTCTGAGGCCACCTCTCTCTCCCCGTTGGTCAGGAGGCCCCTCCTCTGGGCCTCGGTGTGGCTGACCGACCTGCAGGTGCCCTCCCATTCACCCTCACTAGCCAAGTGAATGTGAAACCAGCTCCGTCAGCCCGGCCCTCACTCCCATGTGGGCTCGGGCCAACCTGTGTGCACAGCAGTGGCTGCAGCCAGCACTTGTCAAATGGAACCGACGCTGCAGGTGCCTTCCCCGCCCCATACAGAGGCAGGACCCACCCCAGGATCTCAGGTCAATGTCCCGAGAACAGTCCCCTCCCACCCGTTTGCAGAGGCGCATGTGCGGGCAGGGAGGCACTTCAACCCGGCCCAGCGCCTTCAAGGAGGCGTCTTCCTCTTCGTGCCACGCACTTTGGAAAGCAGAGAAACGGGCTGGACTCGACCACTCATTAGGAACCTGTTTATTAAACACCCATTTCCCACTCAGATGCCAGAGGGAAGCAGACGGAGACACAGTGCCAAAACCTGGGTCAGAGAATGCCAGTCAGAAGCCAGGCCTGGAGCCACCCAAGACCAGCCAAGAACCAGGAACCCGACTCCCTGCAGAGGAGCAGTGAGGGCGGCACCTCCCTGGGCACCCAGCCGCCAGCATCCACTTCATCTGTAAAAACAAGAAACTGCTGGGAAAACTCAGCGACGAAAGCACACGGCAGAGCAGCCTTAAACCGCCTGGGCTCCCTCCCACTCCTGACCTAGAGGCTCCCGGGAAAGGATGCAGGTCGAATCCCAAACCAAAGGCAAGCAAATGCCTGGCAGACTCACTCCAGGGCCCCGACTCCAGGCAGCTGTCCGCCCACAGCCTCCCGTGCTAGCCTTCCCGGGACACTCACCTGAGCTCCAGGAGGAGCCAGCCTCACGCCCTGAAGGGAAGACTCTTCTAGTCCAGGGACTGCCGGGCTGAGACACTGGGGAGCGAGGACGGCAAGTGTCATGCGCTGGGCAGGGACGCAGCAGTCCCCAGGCCGAGGCTGACAAGGGGGTCCCGCCAGGCTCAGGGTTGCCCTCCTGGGAGGAAGCCCAGAGGCCGCAGCGAGAATCAGCTGGTGAGTCACATCGGCTTCAGCACCAGCACTGCTCACCGGCTCCCACCCCACAGGCGATGCGGGTGAGCTGGGCGCCCTGCCCGCAGGGGCCAAAGCGCTGACCACGGAAGGGCACACTAGCTCTCTGCCCGGGAGGACAGCCAGAGCCTCACCCCCAGAACCGAAGGAACACGAGACTCACGGACAAACCAGTGTCTCCTGGTGGCCACTCTCAGAGGCCAGCGTGTCCAACGTCTTCACTCAGACCGGAGAGGAGTCCCCTGGAAGGAAGGCAGAGTGGGACCCTGCTGGCCACTCTTTCCGTCCTGCCCACCCCTGATTGCACCCAACAGCCCTCACATCAAGGCAAGGACACAGGGCACCCCTCCCTGTCTGGTGGGCTGAAGGCCTGGTGTCCACTCGCAACCTGCCAGTTCCGGCTGGATGAGCCCGGAGAAGCGAATTTGAGCAGAAGGTGCCGCTGTCTGCCTTGGCCTCCCAGTGAGGACCGAGGGGTGGTGCCTGCGCTGTCTGGTGCACACTGCCCGCTGCCTGGATATGGCCAAGGTGAAACCAAAGGCTAGGCCAGAGCTGCTGGGGTTCAGGGCATGGCCCGAGCAGGTGCTAGACAAAAGGGCTCACAGCAGAGGGCGCCTGTCCAAGGCTGGCCCCTCCACCGGCACCATCCTCAGCGTCCCAGGAGCTGCTGGCACTTGGCGTGGGACCCAGCCACGGCTGGGGGTGTGCAGGCCCCAGGAGGAACACACAGCACCAAGTCCCTGCCAGCGTTCCCCTTGCAGGGTCCGTCACAGAAGCATAGCAGGTGAAGAGTCCAGCCAAACTGGCCAGGAGAGGCAGGGCCCTGACTTCCTAAAGGCAGTGACCTGGGCCTGAAGTCTGCCCTTCCTGACCCACTGCCACCCTGCTCCGCCCGCTGCAGGGCCCGCAGGCCACCTGTGTGGACACAGCGAGGGCTCCCAAGACTGAAGAAGGGAGAAATGATCAGGGATGTTCACCCCCAGCTCCTTGCCTGCGGGGGTCACTGTGGCCTCCGCCTACAGCCCTGCCTTTGTCAAGGTCACCCTCTCTTCCAGAAATGTCCTTGCCATTTGGGTTTCCTACGCCCTGCTCCGCCTTCGTGCTGATGCCCCTAGGAGACCCTCAGGTGGCCTCAACCAGAGTGTTCCTGTCTCCTGCTGGGACCCCGACTACCACAACCACCGGCCCGTCTCAACAAGCAGTCCTGCCTCTGGGCCAGTGGTCGGCAAACTCATTAGTCAACAGAGCCAAATTTTTTAAACTTAAACTATATAGGTAGGTACATTATCATTAACTTAATTAGGGTACTCCTAAGGCTTAGGAAGAGCCACACTCAAGGGGCCAAAGAGCTGCAGTTTGCCGACCACGGCTCTGGGCGTGGACAGACCATGTGTCCCCATAGCGCCCCCCCCGCCCCCCCAACTGTGAGACCACTCTCTGCAGGCCGCCTGTCCCCCCACCCCCACTCCCGTGGGCTCCAGCCCACTGGTCCGCCTTCTGGGTTCTGAGTCCCAGTGGCTCAAGCCGGAGCCTCGCCCCCCAGGGCACCCTTCCTTTATGACTTCACCCACTGAAGTCACCGGACAATGCTGAACGTTCTACCCCAGAGCTGGGGCCTCCAGGAGGCAGGGACAGCCGCCCGGCCAGCCCAGAGGACTCTCCAGTAGACGGGGACACCGCTGGCCCATGTCTCACAGGGGCGGAGGGCAGCTTCAGAGGCACGGGGTGCTCCTGGCACCATGGATGATGCCGCCGTCCTCAAGCGACGAGGCTACATCCTGGGGATAAATTTGGGAGAGGGCTCATACGCCAAAGTCAAATCCGCGTATTCCGAGCGCCTGAAGTTCAACGTGGCGGTCAAGATCATTGACCGCAAGAGAGCCCCCACAGACTTCTTGGAGAAGTTCCTTCCCCGAGAGATTGAGATTCTGATCATGCTCAACCACCGCTCCATCGTCAAGACCTACGAGATCTTTGAGACGTCAGAGGGCAAGGTCTACATCATCATGGAGCTCGGGGTCCAGGGCGACCTCCTCGACTTCATCAAAAGCCGGGGAGCCCTGCGCGAAGACGATGCTCGCAAGAAGTTCCACCAGCTCTCCTTGGCCATCAAGTACTGCCACGACCTGGACATCGTCCACCGAGACCTCAAGTGCGAGAACCTGCTCCTCGACAAGGACTTCAACATCAAGCTGTCCGACTTCGGCTTCTCCAAGCGCTGCCTGCGGGATGAGAGCGGCCTGCTGATCCTGAGCAAGACCTTCTGCGGGTCGGCGGCCTACGCGGCCCCCGAGGTCCTGCAGGGCATCCCCTACCACCCCAAGGTCTACGACATCTGGAGCCTGGGCGTGATCCTCTACATCATGGTCTGTGGCTCCATGCCCTACGACGACTCCAACATCAAGAAGATGCTGCGCATCCAGAAGGAGCACCGCATCAACTTCCCGCGCTCCAAGCACCTGACGAACGAGTGCAAGGACCTCATCTACCGCATGCTGCAGCCCGACGTCAACCGGCGGCTGCACATCGAGGAGATCCTCAGCCATGTCTGGGTGCAGCCCAAGCCCCGAGCCCTCAGCAAGGAGGGGGCAGGCCTCCTGGGCACTGAGCCCCCGCAGGTCCCGGAGCCCTCTCGGACCCCTGAGGCCTCGATGACTACCCAGCACTCTCGGACCCCTGAGCCCTCGCAGACCACCGGGCACTCTCGGACCCCCGAGGCCTCGCGGACCCCTGAGGCCTCTCGGACCCCTGAGGCCTCGCGGACTCCTGAGGTACCCCTGAGGCCTCTCGGACCCCTGAGGCCTCGCGGACCCCTGAGGCCTCGCGGACTCCTGAGGCCTCGCGGACGACCGAGCCCAGCTCCGACAAGAAGTCTATCTCCCACCAGGAGCCCCAGGAGGAGGCACAGCCTGAGGTGACGCCAGAGTCAAAGCCCCAGGAGGAGATGGTGCAAGGGCAGGTCTCCAGGCAGCTGGAGAGCACCAGCCTCATCGCCCCAACGGGGCAGCGGAGCAGGGAGACAGTGGAAGGGCGCTCTCCAAAGCCCCCGCAGACCCAGTGAGCCTCTCACCGGGCCCAGGGGCTGGCAGGGAAGGAGGCGGAGCCACAGCTTTGAGCCTGGGCTCCAGACAGGTGAGACCCGAGGTGAAGGACAATTCCCAGATGAGCCACTATTTTTGTCAATTTCCCCCCCTCCCTTTGAACGTGCTACTGAAGCAATAAATCACTATATTGGTCCATAAACTGGGTGTAGGGTTAATGAGTTTCAGCCAACATCACTGCCCGCCTCTCCCCCAGCACACGGAGCCCACAGCCATCCATGCACGGCAGAATTTAGCCTGTGGTTCTCTAGGTTTGTCTCCTGGACCCTCAGTCCCTCAGGTTAGGGCTCGTCCCCCTTGCTGCTCCCTACTCCCACTCCCAGCAGCCGACCTGCCTCCACTCCCCAAGCTTTCTTTTTTTAAAAGGTATTGTTTTTTTTAGAATATATTTTTATTTCAGAGAGGAAGGGAAAGGGAGAGAGAGATAGAAACATCAATGATGAGAGAGAATCATTGATCGGCTGCCTCCAGCACTGGGGATAGAGCCTGCAACCCAGGCATGTGCCCTTGGCCAGAATCGAACCTGGAACCAGGTCGACGGTCTATCCCTTGAGCCAAACCGGCCAGGGTCCCTGAGCTTTCTTGTCAGTGTCTGTGAGGCTGTGCAGGATATGATCAAAAGCCCAAAACGCTTTCTGCAAACACATGACTGTTGTGTGACCTGCACTGCAGTCCAGTGGCACTTGCCCCGTGTCGCTAGTGGGCACCTGGAGCGTGGTTGCGGTGAATGAAAACGGAATTTAAAATTGCACTTAAGTTCAACCCTATGTGGCAAGTGGTCACCACGGGACAGTGCAGGTCCAGTGTCCAGGGAGCAGGCGATGTCTGAAACTTCTATAACCTCGCTCTGGACGCAGCAGGGCAAGGCCTCAAACCGTTCCACAGTGTTCTCGCAAGCACGGCAGGAATGCACAGGGCCACCCCAGGTCCCAGCACGCTGGAGGCTTGCAGCCTGCAGCCCCCGCCCCGCCACGCGGTGCCCAGGAGTGGTGGTGGGTTGCCTCCAGGAGTCCCGGAGCGGCAGCCTCATCCATGGATGTCACTCCCCTCCGTTCCAGCTCTACTTACCGGACTCGGGGGCATCCGTGCCGTCACGTCACTGCCACACACAGCCTGGCTCCCACGGTCTCAGCAGGTGGGCACACCCTGCGGGTCACAGGAAGGACCCTAAGTAGGGGCGGTGAGAACTGTCCCCGAACCGGGGCGGGGGTGCAGCACTCGGGCGCCGGA